GAATAGTATTTAGTGCACAAATCTTTTAAGAATTTAGCATATGTGGGCAGCTGTCTTATTGCAATTTCAAATGGTAAGGGTAGGGAATAGGAATGGGACATACTACCTCGTTAGACTCAACGACCTTGGGCAGCTCAAGTGACTCACTATCCTTGTTATTGCCCTAAGTCCCTTTTTCTATAGGCCTAGAGACTTTGGGTGGAATGGTTTTGTCAAATTCCTTACAACTCCGAAGAGTGGTAATGGACTTAAATTGCTCCTCATTGGGTGTAACCTTAGAGCTCTCAATCCCACGTTGACCCTTAGGATTTTCTTGGGATTAAGCAAGAAATTTTCATTTTTCATGTTGCATCATCCCCATTTTGTTGGTCATCTTGGTCATTTAAGACCTAATGTCATTTAGAGCTTGATTGGTTTGGTTATTCATGTTGGTCTGGATTTGAATGAATTGATAGAGAACATCCTCAATGTTTATCTTGTGGGTATGTTGGTATGGAGGTACATTGGCTTGCCCTTAGTTGGGTTCTGTACAGCCCTTGTGGGGGTCAGTGCATAAACTAGGGACTTGTAGACTGGAATGGATCAGGCATTGGCTAACTTGAAGGGACATAAGGCATAGAGGTGGAGGGTTGAGTAGTGGTGTCATTTATACAACTAAAGTTTGGGTAGCTATGTCAACTTGGATTATATGTATTAGAGTAAGGAGAAATTTTTTTCCTTGGTTGGTTAAAGGCATTCACCTACTCATGGAGAATCTCTTTGTAAACTGGTAAGGTCAGGCAATCATTTATGGAATGCTCAACCGACTAGCATAAAAAACAAGGTTTCTCTTAATGCACAATTACCACCGTTCACCTTCCTCACCTCTAGGTTCTCGACTTCCCTAGACAAATGGAAATCTTAGCCAATAGCTCATTGTGCTCTCTTAAAGCATATTTTTCGCCCCCCAACAAACTAGGAAGGAATAGAATGCTTTGATCGATTAGTGGGATCAAAAATATCCTAAGATTTAGCATTATCTGCCAAGCTATTAAAGTAATCTAGTGCTTCCTCGGGCTCTTTACTTAGAAATGTTTCATTACACATCATGTCTAAAAACTGGCAATGAGTTGTTATAATTCATTCATAGAAAATACTCACCAACTTCCATGGTTCAAAGCTATGTCGTGGTACAACATTCAAGAGATCTTTAAATCTTTCACAACAATCATAGAGTTCATTAGATTTTTCAGAAAAGTTTTGCAGCTACTTTTCAAAGCAGTTGTTCTATCAACTGGGAATAATTTCTTAAGAAACTATTGTTGCAAATCAGGCCAAGTAGACAAAGTTCTAGGCTTAAAAGAGTTTAGCCAAGTCTTTGCCTTTTCTTTCAATAAGAATGAGAATAATTTCATCCTCACCACCTCCTCACGTATATTCCAATGTTATCAGAATCGACCGGTTATCGAACTGGCAAGGGGACCGAGTCAATGGTTCACTGGTTCAACCGTTGGGTCAACTGGTCGGACCGGTCATATAATAAAAAAATAAAAAAATATATATAATAATTATAAAACTTAATAATTTAGCTAAAAAAATATAAAATATGTATAAAATACATAAAATTTGCCATAAAATTAATGAAATTAAGTAATAAAGTGGGGGTTATTGTATTTTAAAGCAAAGTAAAGAGGTCCAAGTAAATTATAAAGAAAAAGAAGAGGTGTCATTTATAATTTCCAAGAATAAGGTTAAAAAAAATCAACTATTTACTGATTTAGGGCAAAAAAATTTATTTATGTAATTTAATTTTTAAAAATCGATTTTTGTTAAAAACAGGCCGATTTTCCGGTTTTTAGCCGGTTCGCTTCCTTAAACAGTTCAACTAAGAAACCGGACCGGTTAGGGTCCCGGTTCAAGGTTGAACCGGTCCGGTCCGGTTCTGATAACAGTGGTATATTCTACTCTATGAATGTGCTAACTACTTCCTTAAATTCCTTGATATAGAGGTAAGGGTTCTCCCTATCCACACCATGGAATTGTGGAAGCAGCTAAAACATTTCTAGTTTTACAATAAATTTTTGTGCTTACACAAGCAAGAGTATGTGGTTTGAAGATAATATCTCATCGTCCTCACCTGTGGAGCCGGTGGGAGATTATTTCCAAGATTCCCATTATTTGGACCCAGTGGAACTAGGGGAAAGTTATTTCCTTGGTTCCCTACATTCGGTGGGTTTTCATTGTTTAAACCTTCCATTTCAATAACACGTGTGGGGTTAGTCTTACAAGCCTATTATGCAATGTGCCTGGTGCCCACATACAAAAGAAAATACAAACTAATTAGCAACAAAAATAAAAAGAATAGTAAAGCAAAGTCCAGCAAAGAGCGCATCTGAGCTTGTGATGCTGATCACAAGACTTAACTCAACGATCTCTGAATCACCTTTTGAAAACTCCTCTCCTTCCAATGGCGCAAAAAATGCTTTCTCCTTGAAGTGGTATTAATTTAACAAGGAATTCCCAAGCGTTGGAAGGCGTATCATTTGTAACTGGGTCAATTATTGAGGTCGTCACCTCTAGGAAGACATTTGGCTAGAAGGGTGATAAGGAAAAGAAAGTAACAATTCCGAATTTTGAAAGTCAAGTGGAGAAATTGATCACTTAAAGAAATATCAATTAAAAGAAAGAACCAGTTGATCAGTAGAAATTGCCAAAAATGCTTGCTCCTTAGAATGGTATTAATTTAATAAGGAATTCCCAAGCACAAGAAAGGGTATCATTTGTAACTCTGGTCAATTCCCGAACTCGTCCCCGCAAGGGAAACGGTTGGCTCAAATGGTGATAAGGAAAAGAAAGTAACAATTCCAAATTTTGAAAGTCAAGTGGAAAAATTGACTACTTAAAGAAATAGCAATTAAAAGAAAAAACCAGTTGATTGATAGAGATCACCCCACTGTAAATAGGTATTTTGGCTCAACTTCTATAACTCATTTGAAATTATAATCAAACACACTCAAATGGTAGATATTCATTTAACACCCATTTATAAATGACAAATGTGTATTTAAGACAATTGATTTTAAAAAGAATTACAATCACCCTCGATTGCAGTGATTCCTAGAATTACCTGTGTGAAGTCTAAGTTGTCGATGAATAAGCAAGAAGATATACATATCAAAGAGGTTTTCTAATTTAATCATTCAATTAACCCAAAATACTTGGTCTTTGAAAAACCTAGGTTGAGTCAAAAATCCCAATTCAGAGATGAGGCTACTTCATCCAATCAAACCAATAAACAACTACTCACGCATGATTGAATTGAAATAGAAAACAATTGAAGAAAGCATCATTGAAAATGAAAGCAAAAGACAAGAACTAAAATTGCAAGAAAAGTATATACCTTGTATTGAAATTGCAATAAATGTAAATCGTTCACAAGAATAAACCGAAAGCAATTGTGTTGCAATAATTTAATGCTTGAATTGAAACAAAGCTTATAAAGTAAAACAATGGAGAAAGCTTGAAAGAAGATGAAAAGAGAAAACCTTCTCTTCTCCCATTTGTCCATTGATGCAACAAGAACCTTGATTAGCTGCCTTGGGTGGCTGCCACCTTAGACCCTCTTTCGGAGCCTATAAATAGGCTTGTTCGGGTCATTTTGAAAAAAAAGTTTTCCACATTTGACATGCCCGAGTTAGAGAGAAGAAATACCCTACCTTAAACACTCCTAACAAAAAATTCTCTTCTTTTACATTTCTTTTATATCTTTTTTAGTTGGAGGGTTGAACTTCTCTCACTTTTTCCTCTACTTCTTCCTTTTTCATCGCACTCATACACGCATAATTACACACACACACATATAATACATAAAAGCACACACATAAACACACGTTGCACACATACACAAATGCTACACACACATACAGACACACACATTCTCTCTCTCTCTCTCTCTCTCTCTCTCTCTCTATACACCCAGACACAAATCACATAATTTACAATTGCAATTTTTAAAATTTATGACAATTGGTAGCTTTAAGTGATCAATTTAACTTAAATTAATTTTATTATTATGTTTGTTAAATGTAGACTACAATATGATACTAATAATTATGATTTATGTTATAAATTAAACTGATTTGATATATCAAAATTTTTTATTACATAAAAGCATATTTTATAAATATTTTCAGAGTAAAAAGTAGAAGGATAAAATTAAAAATTAATTTATTTTTACGTCAACTCTATATAATTATCAAACAGTTTAGTTTAATTCAATATTTAAATTTCAATAAATACCAAAATGCCCACGAATTCAGCATTCAACGTTCAATTTTATCAAATACCACCTTATAATTTATTTATTTATTTTTTGGATAGACCTTATTGTTTAATTTAATTACATCTATAATTCACATTTTTTATAAAAAAAAATTTATTTGTAGGGGTGTTCAAATTTTCGACCGGCCGCAACTTCCTACCCTACCCGATTCTACCCTACCCTACTGAAGGACTAGTTGTAAAAATCGGGTAGGAATGTGGAAGAGTTTTTGGTCTTCCGACAATTTTTGGGTAGGAATGCGGAATAACCATCCATTTCCGCATTCTTACCCTACCCTACCCTACCCGCAATAATTTATATATATATAATGTATTTCGTATGGTTTAAGGTTTAAACTTAAATTAATTATTATTGTATCTGTGTAACAATTATAGTGGATTAATGTTCTTACTTTCTTGTGTTTTATTATAATTCTTGTTGTAGTTATTTTAGATTTTAATGTTAATTGATTTATTGTATTGTTAAATTGATACATATTATTTAATTAAATTATTAAAATAATCTAAAAATTAATTGTTACAAAAATGTTTATCCGATTTCTTACCCGACTTTCTACCCAATTAATCGGGTAAAAAATCGGATAGAAATATTACACCTAGATAGACCAAAAAAATATTCTTCAAATAAAAAAGATAGGAACACGAAAGAACGTATGCGTCGGGTTGAATGAACACCCCTAACAAATGGAAGCAGAAGGCCGTTGTCCTTATCGTTTGTCACCCAAACAACATTCTTAAATTCCAAATCTCCTTCTTTCTTTAACAAGTAAAAGATGTTTGGTGGTGGTGGTGGGGGTAGAGACATCGAAACCTTAGGCCGTCTTACCCACATGCTGATCCCTTCTCTACCACATCAACTCGATCAGGTGGCGATGGGGGGTGGTGGAGGTCGTGGGGGAGGAGGAGGAGGAGGAGGAGATGATGACGAGTTTCCGAGGAGGGATGAGAGGGTCCCACAGTGGAGTTACCAGGAGACCAAGGATTTTATTGGGATTCGTGCTGAGTTGGAGAGGGATTTTACGGTGGCGAGAAGGAATAAGACTCTGTGGGAAGTGGTGGCGGCGAAAATGAAGGAGAGAGGGTATAGGAGGAATCCCGAACAGTGTAAATGCAAGTGGAAGAACCTCGTCAACCGCTACAAGGTATTCTTATACATTCTTTGTGGTGAGTGTACGTATATATGTTACCAATGATGGATCTAAGGACGAATAATGCGACCGTTCTCGATTGATCCTCAAAAATTTCAAATTAAATTAAAAACGTGTTTGGTTGATTAGATTGTGTCAGGCATTTGTTGTGTCCTTTTTGTGTTGCCTTTTCAGTTGATTGATAGAATTGGAATTGCATTTCATTGGAATTTAAATGATAGATTTGGAATTTGATTAACATTTGAAAAACTGCTCTTTGATTTGAATTACAAAGTGAGGAGAAATGAATCTGTATCCTGATACCACTGAAATCATTTTGGAATGTTTATTCGTTTTGGGGCTATGGGGATTGTCCTAATGAAATACTTATAGCATTGAAGGAAATAGTGGCAAGTCCGTGCCTGACTGTTTGTTTGGGATGACATGAAAACATGTAGAGATTGGTTTTTTACGTTGGTTTGGCTTTTAGAGTTTGTTTTTGTTGCATTAGTCGATTGTCGATGGTTAAGTACTTTTTGTGGCTGGCTTCATAGTTGAATTCTGATTGAGAGCATAAGAAATGCAACTTGGAAATTATTTAGGGAACCTGATAAAGGATGCTTTTTTAAGTAGCTTCTTTTTGCAATGTTGTATCAAAAAATAAAAACTTTAAAAAGAATAGAAAAAGGAGGAGTGGAACTGCTATTTGAAATTTACCACTTGCTTGGATGGTCTTCAAAATCGTCTCAACTTAGGACTAGAGGGAAACAAACCACATTAGCAACACACCCCACATAATTCTCTCCTAATCAAGCCTTGATTTGCTAGAAAATCATTCGTTTGAACTAGAACTAGTATTTCTGCCAATTCATTTGCAAGTTACACCCAAGTTGTTGGGATAAGAGTTTTAGTCTAATATCAATTTATTTATTTGAGGCTACTGATTGGTTGTGGAGGTATTGGGATTGTGCGTTAAATACAATGTTAGTGTTGATGGAAATGTGGGCAACTATTTTAAGATGACATACAACATATAGGGATGGGTCTCCATGTTGGTGTATTTTAGTATTTTTGTTGAGTAAATATCAATTTGCCCCCTTAACCTATACCACTAGATTTTCAAATAAAAACTACCACTGGTTTCGTTCTGCGCTTAAAACGGATTTTGTCTTAGTTGAGTCCTCTCACTTTTTAGTTTAGTAGAACGTGAGGCTTCCTTACAACTCTGGTTGTATTTTTAATAGCAAGAGCCATGTGACATTCACATGACTGAGTACAATATCCCAACCCCTATTCCTGACCCACCTATGCAATTAGGCCTCACTTTTCCCGTCCTCCATTCTCGTACCATCAACCCATTCTTTACTATCATCAGTGATAATAGAGGACTGGCTCTATTGCCTTTTTCCTCTTATCTCTTATTCTTGCAACTTTAGCTGCAGCTTATCTGCACAACATAGAGATTGACACGCTTTCGAGAACAACATGGAACAGTAGAGGATCCCGAAACACGACGATTACTAGATATTCTCGAAATAGAGATGTTGTAATACAATCTTTACCAAAACTTCTCATAGCAGACCAACCCACTATAATGTAAATACCCAAAATGGTGTTGCACCTCCTGACTAAACCATCAACACCAACCATCAGCCCTTCAGCATACGTCTCCAGTGGAACAAACCCAAACTGCAACACCTATTCACAAACACCATGCACCTAAATAGTAGACCACCACAAACACCATTAAATTGCACACCATCATTGCTACTACCACATTGTTCGTGCACACTTCAAGCACAACCACTATAGAACCAGTTCAAGCTTGAATAATTGTATGTTAGTGTTAAGGAAAAGAAAGAAGAGAAGAAGAAAGAGAATAAGAAACAATATTGGAAGTAGGGTGAGTATTGCCAACACCTTATCTACTATTTATATTAGATTGATATTGATGACAATTACAATATTAAGAAAGTAAAACATAATAGAAAAAAACACATAATAGGAAAGTAGACTAGAAAAGTAGAACAATAAGAAAGTTATACTGTTAGCACTCCCCCTTAAACTAGAACATAGAAATAAAAAATGCTCAGCTTGGAATAAATGCTCATAAAGGTGGACCGCGTCAATGGTTTGATAAGAAAATCACTAAATTGACTGCAATATCTCCACGTAGATAATAAGGATGATAAAACCAAGCTCTAGATGATTGCCTTAGACCATTTAGGGACTTTAATTGACATAAACTACACGATACTCCTCTTGAACAACAAATACACATGGTTGTTCTATATAAGTCTAAGACATCCCTTTTATTTTCTACAGAAGCAATTAAGGACCGCCTAAGAAGCACAAATACTGACACGAATAAGACACGATACGAAAACATAGACAATGCATTTCTTAAAAAAATAGGACATTGGCATGTTGGGGGCACAGTATAGATAATTGTGTTTTATATGTAATTTATCCCAAATATATATAGTGATAGTGTCATTATTCATAAAAAAGTCAGTACTTTATGACAAGTAAATGTTATGTTTAATCTATGAAGCACGAATACTTCAAAAGCAGGAAAGTATCAGTATCGAATATGGATGCGCGTCCTATACGCCTGGATACGCATTCGATACGGTTCGAAAGTATCTTGAACAAAAAAAGAAGAAAGTTTGAGTTTTGGATACGTCAGGATAAGCATGGGATCCCCAAGAGATACGGAATGGATACGACAGGGTATTACTTGTATTTTTAAAAAAGAACACGGGCACTGTAGCAAATATGTTGGGCCTTTATTTGCGAAAAGAAAAAGAAAAAACCCTAACCGGCTAACTTATTCGACAGACCCCCTTTAGTCAATGCGTTTGACGTTGACTCTCTCTCACACCTCCGACAGAGTCTCTTGATGCCTATGATGTCTCTCCTCCCTCTTGATACTGTGAAGTGCAGCTTTGACGAGTCTCTCCTCTTTGTTGTCCAGTGTTTAGGTATCATTGGTGTTGTAAGCCCTCTCCCCTCTCTCTCTCTCTCTCTCTCTCTCTCTTTTGCCTTTTACCATTGATTAGCACTCCTCTTTTGCAATTAGAGTTTACAAAACAAATATTGGGGTCTTGAATTAGGGTTTGTAATTAGGTTTTTTTTTTTTTTTTTCAATTTAAAATAGAAATCTTTCTCACAAATTAGATAATTTTTATAGCTAAGTGGATCAATATTTTTTCTTGAAGAAATTTGAACCAATGATTCTGATTGCACCAGTAGTCAGGTTGGAGAACAAATTTTTGTTTTTTTATCAGTCTGGAGAACAAGTTCCACATATTTAGGGTTTTTTTTTGTATTATATATTAGGAATCATTTGAACTGCTGCATTTGTACTGTGAAGTGCTACATTTGAACTGCTTATCTGCATTTGATCTGCTAGGTACACTATTTAATTAATTTAATTTGCTAGGTACACTATTGAACTATTTGAAAAACAAATATTTTTTGATTGTTGAGTTACTTTCAAATTTCCATATGGTGTTGGGTGTTGAATTTTCTGAAACATTGGTTGAATTTTTTTGATTGCTGACTATTGAATTTTTTTGACTGTTGATTGTAAATTAGCATTCGTTTTATTAAATTAATAATTATAGGAGAATGAGTACAGGTACAAAAAATATGGACTCAACTAGTGGAAGTGACACTTCTGCTAATCAAAATGATAATGCTCCTATTTGTGGTTGTGTTTCTGGAGTAGAAAAAAATGGGGGAAGGAGGTGAAAATACTAAATTTCAACGCAATTTTTGTTAAAATGAGTGCAGGCTAGGAAGCATAGATACTAGCCGAGGGGTTGCTATGGCAATGTTACACACGTGTCCGACACAGATACATGTGTCCCATGGCCGGACACTTGTTCGACGCTTTCAAAAGTGTCTTGCATAGGAGAAAAACATTTTTCACGATCGGATACGTAAGGGAGGGGTTCTACTTGCTATTTTATAAATTTGAGAGGATAAAACGAAAATAGAAAAAGAAAAAAAAATGGGTGAAACATAGTTCTATTTGTTCCCACCGGTCCATAATGGTGAGAGAGAGAGAGAGAGAAGAGGAGAGTCTCCACTAGATCTTCTTCAACAACCAAAGGCTTCGTTCGAACTTGAACCTCTATCTACTTCGGCAACAAGGAGAATAGGAGGAGGAGGACGAGGAGAAGTAGGAAATCTACTACTTGTTGTACTGCGAATCTCTCTTTAGATCTGCTGCTTGTTATACTGTGAATCGTTGAATTTAAATCTATTACTGTTGCGAATCTAGGTTTGTTTCCTTTTTTTTTTGGGGGGGGGGGGGGAGGAGGGGTTGTTATTTTAATGATTTTGCTATTTAGGTTTAGATAAATTTTTTTTTTTTTTTGAGTTTTATTATCTAATTTTTTTTTTTTGGTTGGATGTGTATTTTTTAGGTTTAGATAAATGGTGGATGTGTATTTTTGAATATTTGATTTGTTTCAATTATAATAAAAAAATAAGTGTTTGCTACGTCTTGTTTGTTATTATTAATGTTGTTATATATCTATACTACTAATAAAAGTACCTTAACATGAAAAAAATTTTATTTACTATTTTGTCCTTGTAAAAAACTTTAAATGCTAATATGTTATTTTGTATTTAAATATACAAATTACCATTATATCCTTTTGTATTTAAATAACAAACTAATCTTTAGCATATCATATAAATCTCTCTATTTTTGTAAAACTTTTGAATGGTCATATTATGCTTAACATGATATATAAAAACATTATTTTTTTTTTTCCAAAAATTCATTATTAATACACGTTGACAACTCTATTTATATAATATTATCTCCAATGCTAAAAAAATAGATATATTTATCTTATCGGTTTATTCACAATCAAAATAATTTGGTAAAAAATTATTGACACACAATGTAAAAACAAGAAAGACAAAGAAAAAATTTATAAACCTTACTACTTGGTAACTCGAATGAAAGAATCATAGAAAATGAATCAATTGGATGTTTATAACTATGAAGAGAAAACAAACAATTTAAGTATGATAAATATTAAATAATATCTAATATAGCTACATAATTAGATTTTTTTATATATTTTATCAAATGTTTCAACAAAAAATTGTGCATTGCAAGTATAAAAACATATATAATTATTTTAATTAGTCGTGTTCTCGTCGTACTAGTGTCCTATATTTTGGGAATTTTTGGTATCTTCGTGTCCGTATTCATGCTTCTTAGAGTACAGGGGATCATATTTTCGTGTGAAGGCACATTTATTGAAAATTTCTGGTCATGGGAGTATAGTGTGCTCTAAAGTGACTCCCCAACATCTTGCTAAGATTCAAAGGGTAGTTGAAAAAGCAGAGAATAGGGTTAAAATGACTATGCGCAAGAAAGTTCATTTGTCACCTTCCTCTTTCCAGCCCCCTACAACTAGGAGTATGAGGATATCAGAAATTAACACTTAAGAATTGAAGGTTTTGGGCTAAAGAAAACAAAAGGCCACTGGAGAAAGCATTTAGCTTGGGTGCTCGAGAAGAATTGTACTCTCTCATTGCACAAATATTTTATTTAGGTGGCTTGTCTTTTTATTTAGTTAGGAACCCATATTATGTGAGTTCTTATATATTTGTTGTTATTAATTTGATTACTAGTTATGTACCACTTGGTTATAACGCATTGAGGACCACGCTACTTCAAAGGGAAAGGGCGCATGTAGAAAGATTGTTGGAGTTAACCAAATTATCATGGAAAGAAAAGGGAGTGAGCATTATTACAGATGGGTGGATTGATTCACAAAGAAGACCTCTTATCAATTTCATGGCTGCATCGGAATCTGGGGCAATGTTTTTGAAAGCTATCAACTGCGAGGGTGAGATCAAAGATAAGTTTTTTATTGCGGACTTAATCAGTCAAGTAATTAAAAAAGTTGGACCTCAAAATGTTGTTCAAGTATTACTGATAATGTTCCCGTTTGTTCTTATACTGGATTATCATTTAAAATGAGTTCTAACATATCTTCTGGACACCATGTGTTGTGCACACATTGAATATTGCCTTTAAGAATATTTGTGCCGCAAAAATCTTGAGAGAATGCAGTTACTTACGAGGAATACCACTGGATTATAGAAGTTGTTAGAGATTTAGTAACTATTAAAAATTTCATCATGAATCATTTTTTGAGGTTGTTTATCTTCAATGCCTTTGAAGTTGCTTCTTGTTGTAGACACTTGTTTTGTATTTGATATTGTAGTGTTGAAAAGATTTAAACTCATCAAGCGTGGTCTTCAAGTGATGGTGATTAATGAGAAATGATCTTATTACAAAGAAGATGATGTTGTGAAAGCAGCATTTGTGAAGGAAAATATCTTGAGTGACATTTGGTGGGATAAGATAGATTACATACTTCCCTTCACATCGCCAATTTATGAGATGTTGAGGGTTTGTGATACAAACACACCATGTCTTCATTTCGTTTATGAAATGTGGGACACAATGATTGAAAAGGTGCTATATATAGGCATGAAGGGAAGCCAGAAAATGCAAGGTCAATCTTTTATGATGTGGTACATCAAGTTCTAGTTGAAAGATTGGCTAAAAGTAACACACCTCTTCATTGTCTTGGACATTCCTTAAATCTAAGGTGACAATTTTTTTTTTTAGTTTTTACTCTTAAAGTACTTTTTTTTTATTGAGTTTGTTTTGATATCTTCTAATTTTGCAATATAGGTATTATAGTGCACAATGACTATTTGAAAATCTAAATCGTGATGGCTAATACTGAGTATACTTAGTTCTCTGGTTTTTCAATACTGAGTATGCTAAATTCTCTAGTTGTTTGACTCAATTTGGAGAGCACGACTCAAAAGTGAATCGAGGATTAATGGACCCTCTGATGTGGTGGTTTTCTCATGGGTCTCCTAAACCAACGCTTCAATCTTCAGCATTGAAATTACTCAGTCAACCTTGTTCCTCATCTTGGTGTGAAAGAAATTGAAGTACTTACTCTTTCATTACTTCCATGAAAAGGAATAAAATGACACCACCTCGTGCTTAGGATTTGGTTTTTGTACACAACAATCTTCGTCTCTTATCAAGGAGAAGTAAACAATAAATAGAAGGAGCTACGAAGCTATGGGACATTGGTGGAGATGCATTTGATTCATTGGAGGGTGCAAGATTACTTGAAGTTGCAAGTCTTTGATGAGCCAGAAGTAGAAGCCATGTTATTCCAAGATGGAGGGGATGGAAATGAAGATAATTTTAGGGAAATGGCTTAGTAACAAAAAGGGACTGTTTTTTGTTGCTTGACTTGTAATAGGATGGTTTCTTTCATTTAAGCATGGACATGATTTTTTTTTTGGTATGCAAATATTTTGGATATTATGCAATATGTATGTGTAGAATGTATGTTTTATGAATGATAGAATGGTTAGTTATTATTATATATCTTTGATAGATGTGTGATTCACTTTATAAATCATAATTATTACATTAAATATAATAATAATTTTTTTAAAAAAATATATTTTATGAACGAATCTTAGTCGTACCTGTTTTGTGTGTTTTTAGGTTTTGTCGTATCGCTGTATCCGTATCTATATACGTGCTTCATAGTGTTTAATCATTTAGTGTGGATGTTTAGATTAACATCATAATAGTTAAAAACCATCAATTTTTTCATGGACGTGTACAAAACATATATAATTGAAATGTTTGCTCTCATTTTTTCACTTGCTCTTTTCTAGGTATTTTATGTATCTTTTGCTTTTGTTATTATGTTTTGAGTATAAGTTTAACATATATAGTCTTGGTAATTATACGTTCTTTTATAGTATAAGATATTTAGTAATCAAATTTTTAAGCTTTGTTATGACTGAATGTTACGCTATTGACACTTGAAAAAGAAGTTTTCAAGGTCTCGTTGCTTCGGTGAACCACTTGAGTCCTGATACATTTTCAGTGTCATGGAGCTAAACTAGTGAGCTATTATGCTTTCTTTAAAGGATGGTTGCTTCCACACCCACTTAACACATGCTTATTGTTTGTTTAGAAGTGGACACGTCATTAAAGAAATGTCGTACATGTCATCAAAGAAGTATTGGATATGTCATCAAAGAAGAATCGGACAAGTGTCTGGAATTAAAAATTTATCATTTAAAGATGGGCACGGATAAAAGAGTGTTGGACACGTGTACAAGGAATGTTGGTGTCCAACACAGATACGTCACTTTCTCAAGAGTGTCAATGCTTCATAGATGACCACACCAAAACAAGTAATATCAAATGATGATCACGCCAAACTCTGAGAAAAAGAACACGACAAGACAAAGGACAAACAACAACACCTGCACCACCAACAATAATATCGGCACAAACGAACACAACCAACAACAACACAATAAACTATATGCAACAATAAATTAAAACGCAATAATTGAAAACTGGTTAAACCAAGTAGAACCAAAGTTGGATCAACTTAAAAAAGGGTTGAACTGATGGTAAAAGCTACAAAATCAATATTAAATCAAGATGAAAACTCCAAAATTGCACTAACTAAGTTGAAAACACTGAGTTGCAACGATGCTGAAAACCACTGAATCGATACTAAACTAAGCTAAAAACATTGAGTTGAGATGAAAACTGAGTAGACCAACATCAAACTAAGCCTAAAGCTACTTAACCGACACTAAATCAAGTTGAAAAAATTGAACTGGAATCGAACCAAAATGAAAACCACTAAACCAACACCAAAACACTGAATTTGAACTGATCCATGATAAAAACCACTAAATCAACAGCAAACTAAACCGAAAATCACTAAACCAACATTAGACTAATTGAAAAATACTAAAATCTGCAGCGATGATCAGACACCAAAGACACGAACACAGATTTCGATGTGCCACGATAATTGATAATGTCGATGAACAACCGATGATGATGGTGATAGTAAAATTGCAACTTTAGAGTGATTTTAGAGGTAAGAATAATTGGCGAACACGCAGATGACTACAACTTGATGTGTGTTGGGTCAGCCAACCATTAGGCGAGTGAGACAATCACCTAGGGCCGAGCCCCACTTACCCAAGTATATAACGAGAAGAGAAAAGAGAGTATGGAATAATATTATATGTAGGGTGTGTATTGCCAACTCTGTATCTTCTGTTTATATTAGATTAATATTGATGACAATTACAATATTAAGAAAGTAGAACATTAGAAAAATAACATAATAAGAAAGTAGAACCATAAGAAAGTAACACTCTTAAAAACCCACAACTATAACTGCAATAAATTAATTAAGCATATCACAATCCCAATCAAATATAACCTTAAAATACAACTGAATCAGAAGGAAGAGGAAGAAAGAGATAAGAACCAATCTGAATCACAAATATCTCCTTGTGTCGACCGCTCCAATTATGATATTAAGGCAATTGCCTACCCATGGTCCCTCCGCAACCACCAATGACCAGATGCACTAACTTTGAAAACGAGTGAGAGAAAAATCTATAATGAGATAGGGGGAAGGGAGATTCCTTCGAGTGTATGTGTGTAGAGAGAGAGATGTGAGATTTGTGTGATACGCATCTACGATTGGGGTGGCAGAGAGAGAGATGGTAGTTTTCGAATATGCTTTTGAATGTATGTTTGAAATGTTGATACAAAAACTATATAGCTTACATCTTGAATATTCAAGGTGTTTGGAAAATTTCATAGGGCGTGTCCCATGTTTTGGTTCGTAAAGAATGTAGCAATATTGCCTTAACTAAACCAACATCTGTATAGGGAGTGTTACCTGGAAACTCTAATGACCCTACAACTCCCAATCCAGATCGCATGGCCTCAAAGGGGGGGACATGCGCAACCCGCCCATCACTCCGATCCCAACTTTCAATTGTATCCCCAAATCAAAAACCAAATCCCCAATGAAAAGTTGTCTGTGAGACGGTTCTGTCTGTGAGAAGGTTTCATACCCGTTCCCGTGTCACGTTCCAAATTGACCTGCAATCTAGAAACGCAATTATACTTCTTTGTTTTCTTAAGGTTTGATGGTGTGAGAATTTTAAGTTCTCTTTGTTGCTGAATTAGTGTTCCCTTTTTGTTTCCTTATTCTTCGCAATAGAAAGAAACAAGGACTGCTGTGGTTTTCTTTCATGGCCTCGTAGTCATATGGTATAGCTTCACTGTTGACTGATTTGGAGTATTGTGCATTTAGCTCCATTTTAAATTCCAATTGAGCCAGAAATATATCGAGCTGGTTTGAATTTTAAGGTCCACAGTTAGTTATGATGAAGTTTCTTAGTTCAGAAGTGAGGCTTGGCTGTAAAATAATAGCTTTGAAGTCTCTTGATCCATTCAGGGGAAGGAAACATCTGATCCTGACGATGGTCGACAATGCCCGTTCTTTGAGGAGCTGCATATGGTTTTCACTGATAGAGCAAACAACATGCAGCGATTACTCCTTGAGTCAGAAGCTGGTCCCGGCCAGGCGAAGAAGAGGGCTAAAAGAACTAATGGGGATCAATTTGCAGAAGATTTTTCGGAAGACGAAGATGATGATGCAAATGAGAGTGACAAAGAGGCGATCACAAGAAGCAGCAATCCTCGAAAAAGGAAGGCTGAGAGAGAAAAACGGGTGCAGACAGAAGCATTGGAGAAACCTTCAAGACAGCCTAGTATAGCACACTTCAATACCAGTTGTAGTAGTCTCAGTGGTATTCAAGAGATGCTATTGGATTTCTTTCAGCAGCAACAGAAGATTGAGATACAGTGGAGGGAGTCAGTGGAGAGGCGTGAACAGGAGATGCGATTGTTTGAGCAAGAATGGCGGCAGACAATGGAGAAACTTGAAAGGGAGAAGATTATGATTGAGCAGGCTTGGAGGGAGAAGGAAGAAAAGAGGTGGATGAGAGAGGAGAGCCGAGCTGAGAAGAGGGATGCCCTGTTGACGACACTTCTAAACAAACTCATCCATGAAAATCATCTTTGAGGTAGTTTACTCCTAGTGATCTTACCATGTACTTTGAATTTGTGATATATTACAGGCACGAGCAGACATATTTTTAGTTAGCTATAATGGTAAAAGGAATATAGGGAAAATGAAACTAGTTGTAAAATATACATACATAGAGAGGACATTAATTTGTTTTAATTAACTAAAGTGTAAAGTTGGGATGTCGTAATAGGACAAGCAGCAGTTTCAGTTATTGGGAATCACAATCTCGGCAACAGTCTTAACAGATGTATAATTTCGAAGATATTCATATTTTAATTTTCTAATTTGTTGTACATGTTTACAATTGAGACTGATAAGGGTTTTATATTTTATTTCGTTTTTTTTTTTGGGAGGGGGGGGGGGGTGGTTTTAAGACATTTTGGGGCCTACAACGGAAATGATAAATAAGGTTTTTTATTTTTAATATAAATAATAAATTTATTTTTAATTTTCTAAAAATATTAATTAAAATTTTATATTCAAGCTTTTATTACCATATTTGAACTTGATAATAAGAGAGAGAAAGAATAATTAAAAATTATGATAATACGTTTAAACTCAATTTTTTTTATAGGGTGAAGACTAAATTTTTTAGTAATTTTATTGTTTTTAGAGGGTTAGGTTTTTTTTCTTTTTAAAAAAAAAAAAAAATTTAGGTCCTTTTAATTTCATGGTTAAATTAATAAACTCAATTTACTTAAGTTGAAATATTTTGTTTTTGCATAAATTTAAATTGTGTTTAAATTATTATTGCACGCCTATAAATTATGGGATCTTCTTTGAGGTGAGACCTTAATTTTTTTTTAATTGGACTTGTGTTTTTATAAAACCTTTTTGTTTAAAGTATTTATGAATTTAGTTTTTTTTACATTGACTGTTTATGATATTTAAAAATTTGTGATCTTTCTTAAAAATGGGACCTAAAACGCAAATTTTTTCAATTACATTGTTGAGGCCTGGAGGGTGGGGCGGGGGGGGTGGGGTTGGGGTTGTTGAGGCTGCATTCTGAAATTTTGGGAGCAAATTCAGGGTTTTTTGGAGGATGAGTTTTACCTAAATGTCTTCTAAGCAAGCGGCATTTTGTCTCCCTGTATTTTGGAAATCAACCTTCCTTTTTTCCCTTAAAGCCTATCTTTGATATTAGTGTTTTCTTAAAGATTTTATATAGATTGAAGAATCTACTTACTGCATAGAAGGAAGACAGAAAAAAAAATGCAAAGGGTATATTAATAAATTGTGCATGTTATTGTAGGAAAAATATTGACTTCTATTATGAGGCTGTTAATTTTGGTGTAACTACTAATATTTCATTCAAAATGACATGGTAGTTGATATGGACTTCTTTATTTGGTGTCATGTCATTTGAACCCTAATAAAGACTTCAAATAATATATTGTCATGTCATTTGAACTCAAAATTTGGTCTCAATATTTGGTCAACATAGTATTCCTCTATTTCATTTGACATCCATAAATGATGGGTCATTGGACCTACTAGACTGAGATCCGCCCACATGGACAAAAGAATATCAACCTAAGGGATTGGTGAAAATTACAAAAATAAATTACTCTTTCGAGTAGATGTGAAATATAGAATTTTCTGTGGAATTCTATACATAAAAAAAGAACTCAAAGCATACTCTCCTTGTAAAGCCTAGCAAAATTTATCCGAAACAGGGGAGTTCATTGCTCTTTTTTTATTTCAAGAACTCGTTTGCACAAAGACCAAGGTTTTATCCATTTCTAGATGGAACTTCGATAACAACTAGATTTAGAGGGCAGTTATGAGCATTATAGTCGCTAACCGTTATGCCTTTCCTTTCACTTACACAATTTCTTTGTGAATGCTCCGAACTTGTGTCTTTGACATGAAAAGACGATGTCTTGACCACTGCACAGAAGGGACCAAAAGGTATTTTTCATATACCGCAACTCGGAGAATAAAAACATGTTATAATTTATCAGGTGTAATTGATCTGGTCAAAAAAAGTAATCCGGTGTGTTTTAATGTATTAAATTAATATATATAGGTCAATTGGTAAAACTACTATTAGGATTAAAGATTAAATGATTTTGGAAATCAGAAGGGATCCGATAAGGATGACCCAAATATCAAGCAGGAGGTGTCATGCTGAAATTCAACCAAGACGTGCAATTGCTTGGTGTGCATGTTTGATCAGCTATAAATACAGGCCTACGGATTTCACATCTAAAAATAGCAAGAAAATATGAGAGAGAGAGAGAGAGAGAGAGAAGAAGAAGAAGAAGAAAAAATGGAGTTTCTGCCGAATTCAGATCTCAACTCTGATCTTTAAAGCTTGGGTAGGGTTTCTGGGACTGGGGATTCTAAGCTAAGCTATCACTTTCTAGCTTCAATTTGAGGTGAAAATGGATGGAAGTGATCAAAAACAAAAACAAGATAAGTAAAATCCAAGGCCATGTTTGGTTTTGTTCTTGGAAACAGTTTTTTATTTTCAAAATTTTAAAAACACCCAAAACCTATTTGTTTAGTATTTTTGTTCTCTAAATTTTGAGAAAAAGAAACAGAAAACCAGCGTAACTTGTTTTCAAAGTTTTCTTTGAAAATTTTGGAAACACAGAAAACAATTTTGGATGTTCAGATATGGGTATATATATATACACGTGTATATATATTATGAAATTGTCAATATAAAAATAAGTTTTTTATATTTTTTTTAATGTTTGAATTACTATTCAAATATATATTTAGGTTATCCAAACAGATTTTGCTATTTTCTGTATTGTAAAATTATTTTTAAAATCGTCTAACCAAACAAGTTTTTTATTTCAAAAAATATAAAAACTACTTTCTTAAAATTCTTCTCAAAAACTGTTTTTGAATACTATTTTTTGAAACAAAAACCAAACAAGCCCCAAACTTTTTTAAAAAAAAAATTTGGGTCAAACAATATTTCCTGTGTTTTCTATCAATTGAATTTATCAAATAGGTTATAAAAATGTTTTGTAACCACTGTAGATGGTTAACAGCTACACGACAATCTTCTTGAAAAATTCATATACACTCCGCTGTCAATAAAATTTAGGACCAATTGAAATTTGCCTACAATGGAATTTTGACCACTAGATTGAAGGCATTGATTCTGAAGTTTAAAACTTAAAAAGAAAGGATCACTGACACACGATGACAAAACATTTTAAGGTGATGTCTAGTATGGTTCGTTGCGAGCTGCTAGTTCATTAATGAGCAACACATCAATTGTCAAATCTTTATTTGATTCCCAGTATCACACAACACAAATCATGATCCATATTAACATCATGAACTAGGAAAAGCCATATCCATTGGTTAATGTTATTAAATTTGGTAAAGCTTATTCGAGATTGTTAGTTCTAGTAAATTGCTAAAAAGGTCAAGATGTGGCATCTCTAGTGACTGATGATAAATCTTAGTATTGATCAGAACACTGAAAAGAAAGAGGTTATTATAGCTGTCTCCCAAGTATTTTATGTTCTATAGAGCAGTTTAAAACAAGGATCAACTTTTTTTGTTTTTTTTTTTTTTTTTTTTTTTGATGGGTGAGGGTAATGGATGTTTTGAACTCTTCCGTGAATTAGAGCAACCCTTAGTTTGAAAGCTACTTATGTTTTTGGAGGGCAACTATAAAATGAGGTATAGGGCTCTTCTTCCAATTTTCAACGCTGGGTTCTAAATGTAATTTTAAGATAGTGGAGATGAGATCAATTCTCGGGAAAAAGGTATTCTCAGAAGCTGTAGATGAGAAAGAAGACGAGTTATGAATAGAGGCTCAGCAACACCAGCAGCAGCATTAAACGTTGGAAATGCAAGGCAGAGAGAGAAGCGGTTGCAACAGCGGCAGTACAAAAGCCAACGCAGATAAATGCAGAATAAAAGATGGTTGCCAGGTCATGACCTTTGCTGTGATCACCACACACAAACACCCTTAATTTGCTTAATTGGATCGATTAATGTAAATTCCATTCACATTCTGAGTAATTCAAATTGACTTGTACATACATTTTGCTGAGTCAGAGTTCCAGGGAGGGGTGGGCGCCGACTTCGTGTTGGTATAGTTTTTGACTCCAACTCCAAGATATAGGGTATGTTTGGATCATACGATAAAGGAAGGATAAATAAATAGATAGGCCTCATATACCCCACATTTGGTTAGTACAACAAACATCAAAAATCTAACCCATATTTTATCCCAACCTGATTTTAAAAAGTCAACTTTAATCTATCTAGATGAGTTGAATAGATCCCAAGGGAGGAGGACCGAAATATTTTCTTAGCGTCAGAATAACTAATTAAAATTATAAAATTATCCTGTTGTGCTATCCCTTTTTCCATTCTGCCGGTGCTTCGTCTGGTAAGTTCCTCTCTCTCTATCAGAATGTCTAACATCAGTTTTGCCTTTGAACTATATCACAGTAGAATAGAAACCAAATGGCAGCACTAAAAATAAAAAAAGTACCATAGAAACTACATGACAGTACTTGGACCTAAAAAAAAATTACATGCCAGTAGTATAGATACATGTGTCCTTATTACAATAAAAACTCATATATATATATATATATATATATATATATATGTGTGTGTGTGTGTGTGTGTGTGTGTGTGTTTTTGAACTATTTTCCTCCCGTAAGTTTCATAAAACCGTGTGGTGCATAAATTTTTTTTTTAGTTCATGGACATAAAAATGACACTAAAAAAATATTTGATGTGCTTTAACCAAAACATGCAAACGATCTGAAAAAAAAATTGATTTAATGGGCTTTTTTAAAAAAATTGAATGATGAAGTGTATTTTTAATGGTTACAATATATTTAAAAATACTTATTGTATATTTGAATGAGTTACTAAAAAAATAGATATAAAAGTGTATTTTTTTTGTTTGGACACTAATTCATAAATCAAACATGGTGGTTGATTAATAGTAACTAAAAGTAAACTACATCACTCTTATCCACTGACCTTACAAAAATGTATAATCTACTCATATAAGAGAAATGATTGGATATACCAATTTATATCCTATTCGGATGTCAGATGGGTGAAATTTAATTGGATAGAAAAATATTTCATTTTAGATATTCAATCCACTCCAACCCTGTCATCCAAATATACCCATAATGTCTTTGATTCCGCCTCCTCTCCGATTCGATTCCAATTAATGGAGTTGGACCGGAGTTTCAAAGAACAATTTTTACTGGGCTAGTTCTTTTGAATTTTATTTTTTCAAATTTGGGCCACTCCTAGCTGATGTTTGGACCAACTCCAATAAAAGAGATCACATGAGAGAACAAGACGACAGACATGAGAAAGATATACAGATAGAAAAGGAACTTACCAGAATACCAGTTACAAGGTTCACCGTCGACGACGAAGGCTCCATTCCAGACTCCAGAAGACAGAGATGAGAGTGTGCGTGTGTGTGAGACAGAGAGAGAGCGAGAGAGAGAGAGATGTCGTGTAATTGGTGGACGTGTGGACCAAAATAGATTAGGGTTTTGATATATATATATATATATAAAATAAAACTGTAATAAAAAGTCAAGAGTCAAAGTCGAATATTTTTCAGAATACGTTTTGAATACCGACTCCGACTCTGATCGGAATTTGCCACTTTACTCCGACTCCGATGAACTCTGAATCTGACGGAGACGAAATCAGTCCGGAATTGAAATCAGTGTTGGATTTTCGGATAGTTGCACACCCCTAATTCCAGGAAGCCATATAAATCAGTAGCAATTGACCAATACAATCTTAGTAAAGAAGCAGACATTGCATCTGCTGCTCCCTCGGTTATCCCAAATTCCATACCTCACATCCAACGGTATTATCATTCCACTGGTTTGGCCAACACTGCTACTTTTGAGATCAAGCTCTCCCGAAGCAAGAAAAGTTCTGCAAATTCGACGAGGACATATCAAGAAGCTACTACAATGAAGCACATTAATTTCCCATCCAGTCTGCAATTAAAAGGCTACAAGATTTATTCATATATCCATCATTTCAATATTCATGAAAGGTAGAAAATTAACTATAGATAAAAGACCGCTGTTGCTGTTTCCTCTGGTCCACATTTCTGAAACACTTCCCAGCTAATTCTGCTGGACAGAATGAAGCATCTGCCTGACATAACAAACAAACCATTTTTGTATAATTTCATGCATGGAATCTACATTCTGGATTTCCTTTCCTTTTTCTGTTTGGTGCTGCAAAATCTACTTCACAATACTCCAGCTAGGACCCAGCTAACAATGATAACACACACACAAACCCATTTACTTGCAGGCCATACACATTGCTTCCACATCTACTTCAAGAGATTCTCACAGTTTAGATGCCCACACAATTTGTATTCATACAAGGTCTACCTCATAAACACAATGTAGAGTGCATCTAGAGATTTCACATGATAACATTTGGCTGTACATTTCAAAGTTTTTAGAACACCTGGACCATACTTTTTCTGAGAACAAAAGATATTATACCGAATTGCTTGGAGGCTTTTCTTTTGGATGTTTCGAGGAATAGTGATCACCAAGCTGATTCTGGTTTGCTAGCTGCACCTAAGGACCCATATGGGTAGAAATAAGTAGAGATTATAATAAGAATAAAAGCAACACACAAAATTGCAAACAAAACCCTCCATAAACTGGATAAAAAGAATTGAGGCACAGCCATAATTAAGAGAGAATTATTTTTGGTAAGAAACGAAACAGTTTTTACTGATATTAATCAAGTACATAAGAGGAAAAAGAGGTGGAAAAGACATCCAATCCCAAATAAGGTAAAGAGAAAAGAAAAACACAAAAAACAGAGGTAATAGCAGTACCAAAACTGAACAAAGAGTGCTTAGAGTAACATGTAATGCCCCACTAAAAATCACAAGCAGCTGTACAACCCACCATTATGTAAAAAAGGGGAATGCCTTCAAAATCCTTGAAACCAAAGCCCATCCACAGTTTCACATTTTTATCAACATTCCTTTGCATGTTTTTCCAACCAAATAATCCAAAATGTGGCAAGGACCACAATTTCAGAAAATAACTTCTTCTTCCTTCCAAAACCACTATAGTCCACAATGAACATAGACTAGGTAAAACATGGAGAAACCAAACTCATTACTTCCAAGTTAAACAATTTGTTCCACAGCAGCAACACAATAAGGCAATGTAAAAATTAGGGCCTGTTTGATAACCACAATGTTTTAGCCTTTAGGTTTTTTATGGTTGTTTTCAGTTTTTTGTGAAAAAGGAAACTCAATTCATGTTTGATACATTTCTGTTTTTATTTCATTAAAATCGTTTTGAAAACAAAGCCATTTTTTGGAAACGGAAAAAAATTGACTCCAAAAACAAGGGAAAATGTAGTGTCTATTGAGGTCTCCCCTTTGGCTCCCACCAACAAAATTCGCACATTTGTAGTGAGTGAGACCCCTTTGACCCCTGCTAGAAACAAAATTTTCCCATTTGCACTCTCAGATTGGGGATTAAAAATTTTATTATGAACCACCACTCCATGAGATTGGCCATGTTTAATGACCATGTGATTTTGAAGATGCTCTCAATTGCAGAGACATGTTTTGCTTCGACCATTGTGATGCTTAAAAGATTTAAAGTTATAAAGCATGGTCTCCAAAACATGGTTATTAGTAAGGGTGTCAAGTGTGTCAGGTTAAACGGTTATGTGTCGAGTTAAACGGGTGATAGGCGAAAAATATATAAACCCGTACATGATACGTTTAATAAACGGGTAAAAAATCTCAACATGAACACGACCCGTTTAATAAACGGGTAACACGACACGACTCGTTCAACCCGTTTAATTTTAAAAAAATTATATCAACAAGTTTTAGTACTCCACTATTTTTTACTGCCAATTACACTTACCTCAAAAATGAGAAATTTTTAACCAAATCTCATAAAAATAAGGCTTGAAGGCTTAAAAAAAAAAGAGCAATAGACCATTGCTTTTTATAGGCAACTCAACCCTCTCCCATCTCCCCTCATTTTTCAATGTAGGACAAAAACAAAAGGCATTGGTTTGCCTTTGTCTTTGAAGTACTCCCCATCTCCTCTCCTCTCCTTTGTCTTGGAACTACTACTTTACTTCTTTTTTTTTTATTGATTTCTTTTTTTTTTCTTGCTAATTTTTTAAAATAATTATTATATTAATTTTATTTAAACGAATAAATGTGTGATAAACAGTTTGACAGGTCTCACCCGAACACGACTCACTTATTAAACATGTTTGGCGTGTCAAACTGTTTATCACTCAAACTCGTTAATATCTCACCCAAACCTAATTAATTCGTGTCGGTTAATCGTGTCATATCGGATTTTGAGAGCCCTAGTTATTAGTGATCAGTAGTCTTCTTATAGAGAAGATGATGTTGAAAAAGTGGCCTTTGTGAAGGACAAAGTATTAAATGATTTGTGGTGGGACAAAATTAATTATATATTTTCCTTCACTGAATCTATTTATAAAATGTTAAGGAAGGCCGATACAAATATGTCTTGCCTACACTTAGTTTATGATATGTGGAATTCTATGATTGTGCAAGTGAATGCCGTTATCTATCGTCATGAAGGGAAGCCGGAAGATGAGGAATCAAACTTTTATTCAGCAGCAACAAACCGCTCCATTGCTTGGCACATTCCTTGAATCCGAGGTAATTTCTAAGCTCTAAACCTCAAGATTTTAATTTGAACTTTATAGATATCTAATGATTATCATTTATTTATTTTTAAGTACTATAGTGTGGAGTGGCTTTCTATGACTTCTAATCATGTTCCTCCACACAAAAATAAAGAGATTTCAAATGAAAGAAAAAAGTGTTTTCAAAGACACTTTTCAAATTTGGAGCGAAGAAAGGCCAAAGAAGAATATGCCAAGTTTTCAGCGTGCTTTGAAAAATTTGCAAGTCATGATTCCAAGAGTGATAGGAGAATCATGGAGTCGGCTTATTGGTGGGTTATCTATAACTCTACAATGCGCTTAATCCAAACCTTGGCTTTGAAGTTACTTGAGCAACCTTGTTCCTCATCATGTTGTGAGAGGAATTGGAGCACGTATTTTTCTATACACTCTTTGAAGAGGAAAAAAAACACACTGGATAGAGCCAAAGACTTGGTATTCATACATACTAATTTTTGTCTTTTATCAAGGAAATCTCCTCAATACAATGAAGGCAACAGTGACACGTAAGATGCTGAAGTAGATGTATTTTATTTGATGGAGGAGGGTTGCTGGATGGTTGAGATTGCAGATATTTCCCTTGATGAACCAAAATTGAAGGTCATACTATTTACCGATGAAGGAAATGGCAATGAAGATGATGAGCCCTTAAAAATGAATTGAGGAGGAGTGTAAGATTTCTTATGTTTTTGTGTTCTTTTGTTAGTAAACTTGTTGACTATGATGCTAATTGATGTAATTATATTTAGAGGAAATTGTGGATGTGTATTTTTGAATATTTGATAATTTCAATTATAATCAAAAAATCAATGTTTGCTAGGTCATTAGTTATTATTAATGTTGTTATATATGAAAAATATACTATTTTAATTATCTGTATCCTCGTTGTACCCATGTCCTATAGTTTAAAATTTTGTTGTATCCCCGTGTCCGTGTCCGTGTCCGTATCCGTGCTACCTACACTCTCACTAAAAACGCCCACATTCCAGCTTTTTCGCCTCTCCTTAACACAAGGACTCAAGAAGCTCTCACACGCCCAACAAACGAAGCCATTCTTTCACCAAATTTAAGCTGCCAAATCACTGTCCTCAAATTCCAGATCAAGAAAGTGACCTCGCATCCAACCAAAAAGTCCATTTATGGAATTCCTTCCAGTAATTTGTTGGTTTAGGGGTTTGTATAAGGATTTTTTGATTAGGATTGACGTTATTCAATTGTTTTGAGATGCTAATCAAAAAAATTGTTGTTTAGCTTCAATCTAATGCCCTCACCTGCTGCAAGTCTTTTAAATTCAATTTTAAAATCCAATTTTTAACCAAATTAAGGCTTTAGATTTGATCCCCAATCTCGAATACTTCTTTTAGTAGGCTTTGTTGTTAGATCCCCTATGTGGGTGAGGTCTATTTTTTTTAGATCCCCGATCTTGAACCAACTCTGTTTCCTCTCTGGTTTACCTCCAGATTCTTGCACAGGCAGTTGGTCACTGGGCTAAGTGTATGTTTGGCTATTATTTCCTCAATTTTGCAGATGGTTTGTGGGAATCAAGCAGGAGCTTTTACATGCTTACTTGACGAAACAAGGAGGTATGACACGCTTTTACCCATTTATCACATGCTTGCTTAGTGCGTTTTTCCTATTGTATTAAGTCATTTTATTTGGTCATGAATCCCAGGGCATAAAGATTTTTTTTTCCCATGCGTATATATCTAACTTTTAGTGGAATCTTCTACCCAATTTACTTTCGGATCAAATTCTGCAATAAAGGTCAAAAGAGGTTGATATTGGAATTATCTCTCCCTTCTAGGAAGAAAGACTTTATCTTATTCCTTTGTTCCAGTTAATCCCTTTTGTTTTTATTTGAGAAAATAGGCGGTCTTTAGGCAAAACAAAAGAATTGGATACGGATTCCATGTCAATCCATTCCACTGCATAAACTTCATGTGCAAATAGGGATGGCAGCGAACCGGGGAAAAATGGGTATTCGTCCAAATCTGTCCCGTTTGGACCGGGGATGGACTATATTTATTGAATGATGGATATATACGGGGATACCCGTATAAACCCGTGCGGAGATGAAGGCGGGGATGGATTTACCTTTATCCCCACCCCGCTCCGCCCCGCCCCAGTTACCCATTATATATATAAAATTAAGTAGGCAATATACACTACCATAGTAAGTGCAAACATTAGCAACAATCCTTAACTTCATTGAACAAAATGGATAATATCAGGCTTCTTAAAATTAATAAGGAGTCCATAAAAAATTAAAAAGAAAAAGAAAGCCAAAAAAAATGGTTATGGGACTTCACAACAGAAATTTAAATCCATTTGTACTTTTGGTATGACTTCTGTGGTGCAATTGCCATTCAAGCAACATGCACACAACTACTCATCGCAATTCCTTACTCCATTGGTTCTACTAGATAATTAGTTGTAGCCAGTTTAGATATCCATGACTAGTAATTGATTACGTGTCATTAATCCTCTAAGAAACAGATTATTGAAATAAAAATGCAAAAAAAATGGTAGGTTAAGAAACTAAGGTCATGTTTGGTTTGTGATCTGGAAACAGTTTTTTCTCAAAATTTCAAAAACACCTAAAACTTATTTGTTTAGCATTTTTGTTCTCTAAATTTTGGAAAAAAAATGAGATTTGAGTCAAAGAAACAGAAAACAAGTGTAACTTGTTTTCAGAGTTTTCTTTAAAATTTTGGAAACAAGGAAAACAATTTTGGATATTCAGATATGGGTATATATATATATTATATATATTTATACGCATTTATATATATGTATATATATATACACACACACACACATACACACCTATATATATATGTTTTTATAAAAAAAATTTTGAAAATTTTAG